GGCTCCCCCTCCGCGGGGTGAGCGTTTTGTCTGCGGGCTGTCCGATTCCTTAGCGACCCTGGGACGAACACCAGGGAGAATCATCCGTGCTTGCTGCCCGCGCGCACCCGTCTCAGAACGAGCCCCCCTGGCCGAATTGGCGCTGGCTTACCAAGTGTAGGTGCTCTTCAGATTTAAGAGCATCGCCTCTTAATATTTGCCCTTCTCGACAAGTTTCAAATCGCAATTGAGTTTGTGAGGGTGCCGTGCGGTTAGGCACCTTCGATATCGGTGTGGGGTTTTTTTTGGTTTTTTGTGTTTTTTTTTTTTTTTTATAGGATGGTGCATGCAGAACCCTCAGGTCTGCATCTGGTAGTTTCTTCAGTCTGTGCCTAAATGTGCTGATGCAGTGCATGTGAAATGTAATTCGTGAGGCATTTGTTCCCCTTTGTATTACAGGATAGACTAGATGGATAGCAAAAAACCAGTTTGTAAATCGCGACACAAAAATCCCGGGCTGTTTAGAGTGGCTGGAGGGAAAGCAGCAGAGCTCTTTCCAATTACTGTTTGCTAAGAAATTTCAAGTCGGTGCTCTGGAAATGCCTTCCACGTGTATTTATGAACCTGAAGTTGACTGTTCAGCCAAAACCTTTACGTTATCAAATCAGCAGCGTAAACCAGGGGATTGAGTATTATATGCAAAATTGAGGGAGCGTTATGCACGAGTCGTTGCTCAATTAGTCTTTATTATTTGGGAAGTACTGTGCTAAGTCTTTTATGTAGCATACCGATCAGCAGTGTTGTCCTTGTAAAGCTAGCGTGGTGACGCTTCATACAAAGGATCACTGTGCTTAGAGAGCAAATGTTGAAAGCTCTTACCTGAGTGATAGAATAACGTTGAAATTACCGTGTTGCATGTGTTGATACTGTGTAGATAACTGAAACCTTACATGTGAATTTAAAATAATTAGCGTAGGTGGTTTTCGGACTCTTCTATTGTCTGTTATCTCTGTGTGCTTTCCAATAGGTTTATTTAAACAATGTGCCAAAGCAAACACGTGCTTGGGGGTATCTGTGTGATTCTGCCCAGAGAATGGATGCTACAAATCGAATATGTAGCTCAAATTAACAGTAAAATATTGGGGGGAAAAAACCTGTAATGATTAAATAAATAGGCAAGCTGACAGATGTCAGACGTGTGCATTTGTTATAATGGATAGCTTTTTAACCCTGTGCAGCTTGCTAATTTGCATTACATAAAAAGATAAGCTCTGGGTAGATAGCTAGCTTAAATTGGAATTAATTGACAAGTCTTCCTATTTTCAATACAAAGTCCACTCTGCAGAAGTATTCTGTGGTTCAGTGTTAATTGTCTCTCGGTAATGAGTTTGGGAAGACGTGAAAGTGCTCAGCGCAGTCTTGACATGAGGTTCTACCTCTGATTCTGATCCCCCTCCCCCCTAACTGCTCTCGATAAGTAGGTTCATCGAAACATTTCAATAGAACTGCACTACGTGCTTGCGGTCAAAATTGTGGTCCTGAAAACCTGCTCTGAAGGTGCCCAAGCACTGTACGCAGTACAGCTAATAGCTTTAAGGTTCCTGGGATATCTGATTTTGGGTTTTTTTTTTCCCCATTTATATGAGAGATGATCAGCATGATGCCTGGCTCATGATTGTCTGTTTTCTGGGTGTTGTTATTTTGCAGTAGTCTCCCCGGGAGTTCAGTCAGGTGAGAATTCTCCGATCACGCCCAACATGTGCTGCAGAGTCAGTCTTCTGTAAAGTACAGCGACAGCTTTAAGAGCCAGTTGAAAGAGGAGGTGCTGCTGCTGCTTTTCAACGACTATTAGCTAAAGCATTTGTTCAGAATGTGGTAGGCCCTGCTTCAGATTCCTTTTTTTGCCTGGAGGGATCAACCTACATCTTCCACTTTCCGGGCGAATATCCCAGTTGCCAAGCTGTGCGTTGTCTTCAGTTCTCCCGGCTGAAGCTGTGTTAGTCTCCAGAAAAAGAATGCATGATTCGCTGAGCTAGAAAGAGGATGTATACGAAGATGTTGCCCTCCAAGACTGGAGACATGCAGGCTCTGATCCTTGATTTCAGAAGTTAGTTGTTTTATCTTCGATGTTCCTTGCAGCAAACATGCAAAGCCTAGTATTTCCTGCCCTTTTTCTTCCCAAGTGCTTGATCATTACACTTTAAAGCCACGCTTCATTATGTTTGTGTGTGTGGCTTTCTTTAAATCCACAGCCCTTTTTTAAACCACCCTCAAATAGGAGATCTGTAAGGAGATGCTGTCCAGGAAGATGCTGTCTGGAAGAGAAGACTCTGACTTGCAGCTTGCGTATTTTCCTGGAAGATGGAGATAGGGGTACAGATTCCCCCACTAGTAGTGAAGGAACTAAACCATGGTATTTCCCCTTCTGAGCTACCATCCTGCCTTATAAAAAGTGCACAGTCAGCAGCTATATATTATTAAACAAACGAACAAACAAAAAGCAGCAGCACTGCTAAGTAAAGATGGTACAGACCCGACCACCGTGAAGGTTTGTGGGGTGGGAGTCCTCAAAAAGAGAACAGCCTTTTTGTATCTCTGTGTTGAGCATTCTGGGAGTATAACTGAGGAGTGCCTCCCCACTGACTGTGCTTTCCTACTGATTAAATGTTGAGAGGCCCACGCTGAACACGTTGACTTTAGATTACGCCGTGCTTAGCATGCTACCTGTTTACTGAGCCTTCTCATGCCGAAATACCCAGCCTCCTTCTGTACTGTGTAAGGAGCTTAGGCACCTGGGTTAAAATTATGGCTTCTTTGAGAGCTAAGCACGTGCCAGCGAGGGAGCTGTTGTGTCCAACATCTGGGTGACACCTTCCGGATGTGGCCCCAGTGCTTCCAAGTGCTGGTTTGTCCCGGTCGTTTACGTAGACCGATGATTGGAATAACGAGTGTGGATGTGTCAATGGGATGAGTGTTTACATTGTTGACTTATTAAACAGCTTCTAGTATAGTATCTGCATGTTCCTGTTGTTAATTTTATGTTTAGTTTTGTGCTTGTCTGTGTGCGCGTGCACTGGGTTAGCCTGGAATAGTGCCATTCTCATCTGGGTAATATAAAGATTTCAAAGTTTCTGGATGTGACTTAAGAGACTAAAGCAATGGTTTTGG